AAAAAAAATTACGGTTTTTCTGTTAGCTGCTAGGTACTTTTATAAGCACATGGATATAGTGTGGGACAGATAAGATAGGAATAAACAAATGGAAAAATGTTTAATTATCATCATTGATCATTTAGAAACAACTTACCATAATGTAGAGCTGTTTGACCTTCATTGTCCTAGAAAAGAAATAACAAATTTTAGAAGTCTGAATAATAAAAGCATGAACTATGTAGTCATACTGAGAGACAAGGCATATTTGATATATCACAGTTCCAGACATTTATCAGAGAGAGTGGTCAGTGGAGTCACCTGGTAACTCGTGACCAAGTTCTAACATGGAGCATGGAGATGTTGAATGGCAACTTGTGTGCTGCAGCAGCTACAGTACAATGACAGAGCTATCAGATCAGCAGATAAACCACAGCGAAGCGTTGGGTAAAGGAGTTAAAATGCGGCTGTTTGATCATCAATTGGCGGCAGAAAAACTGACTGTCATTTACCTTGATGACTATCAAAAAAAATTTTTATAAGCTTTTCCACCAATCTAAGAAGTATGTGATTTATAGTGAGAATGATCTGATAGATTATTAGATTATTAATCCCCTTTCAAAGATTCACAAAGTGTAGGTTCATAATATTTACATTTCATAACTAAATAAACTATCATAAGGAAATGAAAAAATATACAAAATCCCAGAAATTTTAAAAGAACATCAAAGTTGCCATAGAATACTCAGGAAACTCTAAGCATTGCACTTAAAAAACTTTGTTTTACAATCAAGATACTCTAACTATATATGTTCTAATTATAACACAGACAAAAATGTTTTAGCAATGCTATCTCAAGAGCAGCCAATCGCATTACACGGGCAACAAATACTCAGGATTAAGTATAGGTAAAAAGTAGAATTTAGTAATGAACTTGATCTGCATCTGCCGTAATCATGCTACCGATGATTAACGGTGCATAACTTGGTCATGTGCTATACGTGTTATATGCCCACACGGTGGTCTTCCCAGGCCCATATAGTCTTCCAGATGCACAAGACCACTCCTGGCATCAGCTGATTCAGAGGTATTTTCAGACAGAAGCCTGGCGAGCTTGCCACCAGCGCAATGTGACATGGAGTCCTTGCAGTAATTCATGAGGTCACAGCTGGCCCAGCTATTAGAAGCTACCTTCTCTCCAGGTGAAATAGTCCGACTCTTCTTCTTGAAGAGTCCACATTGGTAGACGTGGTTTTACCTTGACTTAGAAACTCTCATGATGCACAAGAGTGGTTCTATCTTCTAACAACAGCTTGCAGGGTCCCAATAAGGGACACGCTACTTCAAAGAAACTCAGAACAGTCCAAGGTGCAGCGTCCCCACCCCGTATTATAATATTAATTTTTCCTTTGCAGTTCCTCCCAGCCTAGATGGAATTTACCAATCAGGAGCCACATATCTATCACAAGTATTGTTAATTAGTAATATAATTGCCACCCTTAACTTCATCAGGTTACCAGGAAACATGCTATTGTCAGGAGTCATTGAGGTGGGTCCTACTCACAGGGACCCCAGATACAGTGAAACAGAACACTGCCGAGTCCTATGCCATCCTCACGACTGTTCTCATGTTTGAGCCCACTCTTGTGGCCACGGGTCAGTGCATCTTGTCCAAGGCCTCCCTCTTTTTTTGCTGCCCCTTTTCTTTACCAAGCATGATGTCCTTCTCCAAGAACTACCCTGTTTCCCCGAAAATAAGACAGTGTCTTATATTAATTTTTGCTCCCAAAGATGCGCTAGGTCTTATTTTCAGGGGATGTCTTATTTTTCCATGAAGAAGAATA